TAATCACAGGAACTGTGTGTGTGTATTGTCTAACTCCCTAAAGTCCCTGTCACGAGGATTTACTCCTTCGATATGAGACTGACTGATTGATTTAAGATGATTGAGTGATTATTAACTAACTGATCACTAGTGAATAATTGTATAATTATAAAATGCTACCCAGAGGTCTGGAGACTCTGGGTGAATTGAATCTCTGGTGGTGCCATTTTTCCCGAGGTTTATGAGTTAATATTTCTGAAATATTAATTTTCATAAGTTTATTAAAAATCATACGTAGACCTGCTACAACAACAATTAGATGGATTGCGATGAAATGTTTTTTACAGACATTCATGGTCCCCAGTGGATGAATCCTACTGACTTCTAGCACTGACATGAGCTAGACATTTTTGGTTTTAAGTGAAATGTCTGCAACTATTAGAGGGGTTCCAAATTACTTTGGGAGTTGTGGCGGAACAATTCACACCATAATTAGATTTGTCACCAGATACCTTCAAAACTAATAACATCCCCATCAGCCTCATCTGTACTTTGTGTTTACACACAGATTGCTCATCTGTTCACACAAAAATATTGAAACATAACTACCCCCATAGTTTGTTTCCAGTTTCCTGAGAGACTGTCTTTTAATATGTCTATTCTAAGACGTATTTGTGCGTATTGTAATCAAATGTCTTCCCACAATCAAACCTTAATTGTCAAACGGTTATACCGTTGTTAGTTTTAAGCATTTGATAAAAGGAAAACAGTTGTCAGTAGTTAAACCTTAAGGTTAGCATTTCCTAGGAATCACATCAGATGAGAGGAACTTAACTAGCTTCCTGGATAATATTGGTTGTTACACATTCTTACTTAGGGAATATAAACAAGATACACGAATGGCATCAGATTATGAACAAGTAAATACAGAGTGACATTTATACATTAAACGGCATTTCAGATCGATGGCATGTAATACTTATTTTGTCCTCTTGTGGGAGCTCTGGTTCCATGAAGATAGCTTTGATTATTCTTTCAACAATCCTTTGCTCAGGAGCTGGGGAATTGAGTTATTTAACATTAAATTCGAGCTGGAAAATTAATAGAATAGTATAGGATAACATTTCTTTATCATATAATTTCTAAAGGAAGTGTCAGAAAGTGTTGGGAACAAAGCATTGGTTGCACTTAGGGAAAGCAAACCTTTCAACCCCCTCTTTGGGATCTCCTGTTGAGAGTTGATATCTGAAACCCCCTCCTTTTCTTTCTCTCAGGGAGAGAGAAAGACTTTGGGATCTCCAAATTTATTTGATATAAAATGAACAAATCCACACTGGCTTGATCACTACATTGTTGAGACATTTCAGTCTTAACCAAAGTTGGAAACCGACTGACATTGCCATCCATAGAGCCAGTAGAACGATAGAAAGAAAAGAACAGCAGGAGCTGTCATCTGTTCTTTACTATCACGTCATCTGTAAGCTTAAACCTTCTTTCATCATTACAGTACGTACATACACTCGCACACATATGTGCACACACGCTTACACACACACACACACACACACACCATGTCCCTTTAGGCAAACCCTCATGTTCTAATAGCGGAGTTCTGAAGTTCTGAGACAACAAATGACAATGAAGACAGAGAGACAGCAAAGACGGGAGAGAAACATAGACTGAGAGAAGAAAGAGAGAGAGCAGGGGTGGGGAGAGGAGTGAAAAGCAGTGGGAGTGAGAAAGGATGTGAGTGAGAAAAAAGGACCCTTGTGGCCCATGATTATGCCCTCTAATTCAGCTGTCGAACGGCTGCGTGGTTGGCCCATGATGTCAGGGAGGAGTGGGTGTGTGTGTCTGTGTGTGTGCCAGTGAGTCAGGAGGATGTTTTGCTGACTTTCTGCTGAATAGACAGAGAGATGTCTGGACGATTGTCTGCTAGCAGTTTATTTTGACCTTTATAATTAAGTTTGTGTGTGTATGTGGGCTGCAGAGGAGATGTTCTGTGTGTCTGCTGGTGTCTGTGCACAAAAATGCGTGTTTTAAATCAGTCCTTTGTAACCCTCTCTCTTCTTCTTCAGTTGTACACGTGTCTGCCCACCTGGTGAATGTCATCAGTTTCAGTGTCAGCTACTCAGACGACTTTCCTGCTCTCAACTTGGCTCGCTACAGAGGAGAGGTGAGACACAAATGCGCGTACATATGTAGTTTATAGTTGTGAGGACGTCATTGACTTGACACATTCCCTGGCCCCTAACTATAACCATCACAAGTTATGCTTGAAACATGTCGTGCGACCACATCTGAAAGCAGTATTGTTAGATGTTCTGAATGACAACACTTGAAGTGTAGAGATTGATGTCATAGAAGCCGAGGTGCGGTGAGCTGTAAAAATAGTTAGAACTGCACAAAGGCATTCATGTTGTACACATGAAAAGTGAGGAAAGTTGTTGTTTGAAGAATTAAACCTCTGTACACCTGGCCAATCGTTGCATAAAGTGGACATGCTGGTCATATTGTCTGTTTCATAAAGGTACACAAATTGTCCTCCCATATTGAAGTCTGAAAGGTGCATGGAGAGATGTGCTCAGACTAGCATTTAGTCTGAAGCATGCCTTCAACCGAAACCTAACTCTCACATTGAACCTTAAAGTCTTAACCCCTCCAAAAATGTCCTTACTTTGAAGAGAATAGCATGCATTGAAGTAAAGGGGAGAAAATTAGAAATGAAATCACCTGCTGAAGTGATTGGTTGGAACGAAGCCTGCCGAGGTTTTCTTTCTATACTACGGCTGCCACTGCTGAGAGGTCTATGGCTCAAATTAGTTCACACACACACACACACACACACACACACACAAAAACAATTATTTGTTTTTTGTGTTTCCTTCCCAGGACCCCAAACTGATCATTTTGACCACAAGTAAGAAGCACAGCTCTTTCTTATACAGTATTGTGTGTAGACCAGATGTGTTTGTATGCATGTGGATACTGGTATGTTTTTACTAGTGTAGTAATGAAGGTGGTAAATGTGTTGCAGATTAGCGTGGCTTTATGCCAAGAAGAGGGGAGGAAGTCGTGCTGTGTTTGCTGTGTTTAGTCCTCTCTTAAACTATTTAGTCTTTAAATATTTTCCCTATATTTAAAATTTTTGCTATTTTGGTGGATAAAATAAGTCAGTTAGAGTATGTGGAAATATCATAGCATCTCCCCTTAATAATAATTCTCTTCAGTCCCAGGAGTCACCGGCGTCCTGTTGGTTCTCATCCTCTTTCTGATGTTCACTTCCTCCTCCTACTGCGTGCGGTAGGTACACCAAACCATCATCCACAATCATAATCGTCATAGTTTGTGTATGTTTCTTATACACTGCTCAAAAAAATAAAGGGAACACTAAAATAACACATCCTAGATCTGAATGAATGAAATAATCTCATTAAATACTCTTGTAGACTCCGTCTCATGCTACCACTAGAGTGAAAGCACCGCCAGCATTCAAAAGTGACCAAAACATCAGCCAGGAAGCATAGGAACTGAGAAGTGGTCTGTGGTCACCACCTGCAGAACCACTCCTTTATTGGGGGTGTCTTGCTAATTGCCTATAATTTCCACCTGTTGTCTATTCCATTTGCACAACAGCATGTGAAATTGATTGTCAATCAGTGTTGCTTCCTAAGTGGACAGTTTGATTTCACAGGAGTATGATTGACTTGGAGTTACGTTGTGTTGTTTAAGTGTTCCCTTTATTTTTTGAGCAGTGTATGTTGTGTCATGGATGTATTAAGAGACGTGTATAGAGTTTGGCGAATGAAAAAATGCGGCCGTATTTTACCCATAGACAGCCATTTGTAAAAATTTCCCAAAGCCTAGAAAATACATTTTTATGAATATAAAACCACATTATATACAGATATATCCTTTTTGTTTGTTTGCTGTGTGAGCAACTTTCATTTAAATGTATAGGAGCAATATTGGAGCCTTCTCTTAATACAAACGTGGTTTTTGTACTTGTACGTGAAAGTGTCTTTGCTTGTGTGTCTCATTGTGTCATGTCTGTTCACCTTTGTCTTTCTGTCTGAGTGTGTGAGAAAGATGGAAACCATGAGGAGACATGCTAACAGAGGTCTCTGCATGTGTACACGTGTGTGTGTGTTAACTTGTGCAGATGTGTGAGACTTGAGGTGTGTGTTTGGGTGCCTGTGCTCTCTTGACCGTCTTCAGTAATTGAACAGACGATAATAGATAAGAGGCTTTTCCAGAACCCTCAAGGGTCAGATAAGAGTTTGGGTAAGTGGCTAGACTGGTGAGATGAAGGCTACTGCAAAATGAGTCACAGTGATCTAGTGATATTATCACACATTAATGCTTGGAACATTATTAACATATTCTGTGAATTACAATAGTTTGCATCAGCATTTTTACCTTTTGACATTGCTAATTACATATTTATGAGGAATGTTCTGTTATCATGTCTATGGAAGAGGAAATGGGTAGTTAATTAGCCCATCTGTAAGCCAAGGCAGGGGAAAGAACCAAAGACGGATTTGTCTATGTAAACAGAAGATAGCCAAACCAAGAGTTGTTGGCACGGGTTTAATACCATTAAAATCTTAAATTTTAAAATAAAGTGAAAATTCATCATATATGTCACAATTAAAGCTTCCTTATGTGTAATAGCTTAAAATATCTGAAAGTTTATAATGCTTCACTTCAATCATAACAAAAGAAAACAGAAAAGAAAATGTTGAGAATCAAAATCAGATTAAGAAAGTCTTACTGATCATTGGTTTATCTAAGGTCCTTCTTTTATTTGGGAATGTTCCCAAAGAATACCATTTAAGATGAATTACCATCCACTTAGCCATGACTTACTTAATGTGTTGTTGCTTTCTGAATAGCTAAAGCTAACCTAATCCTTATTGTTACTGTTGACCTTGCCCAAATACACTGGAAACTATGATAGCAAAGTACAAACAATGTGGTTTTGTTATAAATTGAAAACATTTAAATGTAAGCGCCGTAAAACATGTTTTCATTGAAAGTGTGTGAATTTTTTATCAGCAAAAGAAAAAACAATGCCCCAAGCCTTTTTAAAGAAATACTTATCCTGATAATATATGGGGGTCTCTCATACGACCACACCTCCCCAAAAAAAGGACCACACTACTAAGGTGGAGAGTCAGTTTTATTTGGAATATAGTTGTACTGGTTGTAGTTGTAAAGGTATACAAAATGTGCAATGTTATACACATTAAGGCGAACCTAAGGACAGTTTCTTTTCCAAATCCCTATCAAATTTCCGAGGTTAACGTCACTGGATTATGAGGCACTAACCACCTAACGGAGGTGAACACTGCTCGGCCTTTGTGGTGTCCCTGTATACTTTCAGAAAACAAACATGAAAGAAGGTGCAGCCAAAGTACAAATACTGTACATGGTTTAATTATGTTCTTTGTTTGTAGTGTTTATCGGGCGGGAAAGAGAGAGGGGGCTCATCATTTGTGTAATGACCCATTTAATATTGAACTCTGATGTCCTGCTTACTCAGGCCTTGAGCTGGCAGTCTGTGCGTCTGTCCCTGAACAAACTCCGACCTCGCTTTCTTCTTTTGCTGCCTCTGCTCTTTTTGTGTCTCTCATTCACGTGTTCCCTTACATTTACATTACGTTTATTCATTTAGCTGATGCTTTTACCCAAAGTGACTTACAATTGCTATACATGTCAGAGGTCGCATGCCTCTGGAGCAACTAGGGGTTAAGTGTCTTGCTCAGGGACACAATGGTGTCCCTGCCATTGCGCCATCGCCACCCCGCCACACCCTTAAATCATGTCACCATGTTATTATTCTTTTTCTGGTTATTATCCCTCATTTAAAATGTCGTTTTTATCCTTTTTTTTAGGTCATCCAACTATGAGATCTTCTGGTACACACACAACCTCTTCATCATCTTCTACGTGATCCTTATGGTGCACATGGTCGGGTATGTCTCGGGGTTTAGGACATTGATGCCATTTTTGTTGCAAAGTTTGTACAGTTTGTCGCCATCTCAATCACTGCCTCAAGGAGATAAGATAAGGATTTGCTTTATGTATGATTGATGAATGTCAGCAAATAATTTGGGAGACTCCAGCTGACAGCTGGAGATATCTCTAAATTTCTATCTGCAACTTCATACTGACTGACAATCAATCATACATACATTTTTATTTCAGAGAATCCATGAAATGTTTTGCTGACTTACTGTCATGTTACTGACTTATTCAATATGAAATATTTGTATATTTTTACTCAGCACAAAATATGTAATTTCTTGTTGAAAGGAGTAACTTTCGTTTGGTTGTGTGTGATCAGGGTGCAGTAATTTCTTACTTGCCTTCACTGAGAGTCATTCAACTGTAGAACCAGGGTTTGCTTGTACACGCCTGTTCTCTCAGTGTAGTGTTTTGTTGAGATATATTTTGTGTTTTGAGTTATGTTAACAGTCTGTCAAATGGCAGTTTTATATTAGGCAAGTAACACTAAAAGCTGGGGTTATCTGTATTAGTATCAGGAGGTCTGGGTGTGGCAGTAAAAATACTACACTACTACATTCATACAGTGAGGAAAATAAGTATTTGAACACCCTGCTATTTTGCAAGTTCTCCCACTTAGAAATCATGGAGGGGTCTGAAATTGTCATCGTAATTGCATGTCCACTGTGAGAGACATAATCTAAAAAAAATAATCCAGAAATCACAATGTATGATTTTTTAACTATTTATTTGTATGATACAGCTGCAAATAAGTATTTGAACACCTGTCTATCAGCTAGAATTCTGACTCAAAGACCTGTTAGTCTGCCTTCAAAATGTCCACCTCCACTCCATTTATTATCCTAAATTAGATGCACCTGTTTGAGGTCGTTAGCTGCATAAAGACACCTGTCCACCCCATACAATCAGTAAGAATCCAACTACTAACATGGCCAAGACCAAAGAGCTGTCCAAAGACACTAGAGACAAAATTGTACACCTCCACAAGGCTGGAAAGGGCTACGGGGAAATTGCCAAGCAGCTTGGTGAAAAAAGGTCCACTGTTGGAGCAATCATTAGAAAATGGAAGAAGCTAAATATGACTGTCAATCTCCCTCAGACTGGGGCTCCATGCAAGATCTCACCTCGTGGGGTCTCAATGATCCTAAGAAAGGTGAGAAATCAGGCCAGAACTACACGGGAGGAGCTGGTCAATGACCTGAAAAGAGCTGGGACCACCGTTTCCAAGGTTACTGTTGGTAATACACTAAGACGTCATGGTTTGAAATCACGCATGGCACGGAAGGTTCCCCTGCTTAAACCAGCACATGTCAAGGCCCGTCTTCAGTTTGCCAATGACCATTTGGATGATCCAGAGGAGTCATGGGAGAAAGTCATGTGGTCAGATGAGACCAAAATAGAACTTTTTGGTCATAATTCCACTAACCGTGTTTGGAGGAAGAAGAATGATGAGTACCATCCCAAGAACACCATCCCTACTGTGAAGCATGGGGGTGGTAGCATCATGCTTTGGGGGTGTTTTTGTGCACATGGGACAGGGCGACTGCACTGTATTAAGGAGAGGATGACCGGGGCCATGTATTGCGAGATTTTGGGGAACAACCTCCTTCCCTCAGTTAGAGCATTGAAGATGGGTCGAGGCTGGGTCTTCCAACATGACAATGACCCGAAGCACACAGCCAGGATAACCAAGGAGTGGCTCTGTAAGAAGCATATCAAGGTTCTGGCGTGGCCTAGCCAGTCTCCAGACCTAAACCCAATAGAGAATCTTTGGAGGGAGCTCAAACTCCGTGTTTCTCAGCGACAGCCCAGAAACCTGACTGATCTAGAGAAGATCTGTGTGGAGGAGTGGGCCAAAATCCCTCCTGCAGTGTGTGCAAACCTGGTGAAAAACTACAGGAAACGTTTGACCTCTGTAATTGCAAACAAAGGCTACTGTACCAAATATTAACATTGATTTTCTCAGGTGTTCAAATACTTATTTGCAGCTGTATCATACAAATAAATAGTTAAAAAATCATACATTGTGACTTCTGGTATTTTTTTTTTTTTTAGATTATGTCTCTCACAGTGGACATGCACCTGCGATGACAATTTCAGACCCCTCCATGATTTCTAAGAGGGAGAACTTGCAAAATAGCAGGGTGTTGAAATACTTATTTTCCTCACTGTATGTACTTGGATGTGTCTTTATGGCCTTTTCAATAACCATACCTCAGCAATCCTAAAAGTTACAATAAAATAACTAAGCTAACAACATTCTTGTCTTTTGTCAGGGGAGCTCTGAAGTATCAGACCAACATAGAGGCCCACCCTCCTGGCTGCATCAGAGCAAATCAGAGTAGCACAGAGCGGCAATTTGAGGAGCTGGAGCAGGGTGAGGATGATGAAAGGAGATGCAGAGAGGAGGCTCAATTCCAGCCACACTACCCCCAGGTGTGTGTGTGTGTGTGTGTGTGTGTGTGTGTGGTCGGTGCACGTCTATTTCATGCATCTTGACATTTACCTTTATTTGTGTGCATGTTTGGGTTGTAGGAAGGAAGTGCCCGTAGGTGTGTGTCTGTGTTGTAGTGAGTCTTTAAGTGTTGCGCATGTGTGTTGAGTATTTGGGAAGTGTTGGAGGGAGTTCTGTGTGGGAGGGTCCTGTTTATTAGAGGTGTAGTGCTTGTAAGGGAGGGGCAAGCATCCTCTTTCTACATCAAGGCCTGTGTTTCTGTGTGTTTCTTCCTGCGGGTGTGATTATGTGTTTGCACATGGTCGTTAAGCAATGAGCTGGTTCCATAAAATCAGCCCTTAAACCCGATTGTGCTCTGCAGGCTTTATGGGCGCTGTAAGCAATTAGTCAGCTACAGCTAACTGCCAACAGAAAGAAACAGAAACACCACACACTGTGATAGAAAGATAGAGAGTTTGATTCAAAGCCCTCTTGTATTTTCCAGAAACATGTTGGGAGAAATAGAAAGCATAGATAGACAGCAACAGGTGTCCTAAGGCAAGCTCGGGTAGGACAGAAACCTCCTGTGGAGCAGAAGGGCAAACACGAGCTTGATCTTGATTTTCAGTATGAATATAGAGAGCAGAAAAATTACAATCAATATGAAAGAGAGACTATAAAAAATACTCTAACAACAAATAATAATAATCTTTATTTGTAGAGCACTTCTCAAAAACAAGTTACAAAGTGCTTTAACAAGTGTAAAGAAAATAAAGAGACAATAATACAAAAACAATACAAGATAAAAGCATGAAAACATTGAAAAGACTAAAATACAGATAAATATAAAATTAGTAAAATACAATAAAATAAAAGGGATAAAATAAAGTCAAATAAGATCGGGAAAGGCTCTCCTATAAAAGTATGTTTTAAGAAGGGACTTAAAAGAGTTCACCGACTCAGCCGACCTGATTTCCTCGGGCAGGCTGTTCCAGAGCCTCGGGGTCCTGACAGCAAACGCTCTGTCCCCTTTAGTAAATATGTACAATATATAAATATAATAGGCTAATTATTATAATATGTATTATATATATTCTGTAAACCTTAGCTGATTTTATGGCAGGCTTTTACAAGTCTATTTGCTTGGTCCAACTTTTTTTGCATGTTCGCAAATGTGGCCCTCTCACTTCACATGTCCACTTTGTATGGCAAATGCACTCTTTTCATAACGCACAGACTGTAAGTATACAGGAACCCTGAGAGGGAAGTGAGACAAAATGATCTGTCTAAATTCTTTAACATTTGTGACACAGGTGGATACAGAGAAAAAAAGTTTTGCCAGAATAACTTGTGAAAACAAGTTTTGGCAGAACATTTTTGTTGTTGTAATTCTCATTTTGACAACATAAGGCTGAAGTGCACCACAACCCCATGTTATAGGACTATGGACTAAAATCATAAATGTTCACATTTGTAGCCAATAAAAAGCCATGGAAGAAACGTTACAACAACACACAATAAATGTGCCTTGTGTTTAGAGCTCTTGGAGAAATTAAAACTCATCTGGAAGAAAACATGAACGCTTTTAGTTCTATTTAAAACATGGGATTAGTGCTGCCCTTCAGCTCTTGTGGCCAAAATGAATATTACAACAACAAACACTTTTTTTTAAGGAATTAAAGTTACAGTGTGTAAGTTTTAGTGGCATCTAGTGGTGAGAGTTGCGAATTGCAACCCCCTCCCCTATCCAAGCAAGTTGTATAGCTACGGTGCCTGAGACAGGATAACGGATATCCTCTTTGAGATAGTAGAGAGTTGCCAGTCAAGAAATGAGGTTTCTTTAGATAGATATATTAAGAAATTATATTTACTTAATTATTCAGTAAAAGCATGTTTTTATGAATATTATTGTAATTGTTCATTAATAAACAACAGCCACATCAAGAAATTAAGTGCTACATGATGTCTCATACTCCTGTAATACAGCTTGGGAGGGTTGGCTCATCTGGACTAACATCACCAAAGAAAATGACCTCTCACATCTCAAAAACACTATCACATCTAGTGTATCAAGTATGGCCACTGACAGATAACAGGAAAATGTAACCCTCACTGTTTCTGCACCACAGTCCATTATAAACCACATAATATGTGAAATTTACAAATGCATTGTCAGGTGAGGATCAAGGCTCCTCTCACTTTGTTTAATTTATTAGATAAGCAATCTGCAAATCTTACCAAAATGTTTTTTTTTATTTTTTAAAATATAACAGAAACACAAATTGGTACGGACAGCCATCATTTCTGCTTGTGGTAAAACGGTGCAATGTTTTTAATGGGCGTTTAGCATGTGAAAGTACAAATTACACATTTGTGTGCACAGTGGCGAAGCACTATATTTTTTAATGCAAATTCGGAAAGTATTCATTATTGGTCACTTGACAGGCACATGGTCATGTTATGTGTCACTATTAGCAGTAAAAAAAATACATATTTTCCACCAGGGCAGTATTCAACAGAAGTTTAGCTGCTGATCTGAGCTTCCATGTTGTTACCATTTTATTGCCAATAATATTCATCAGTGGTTTGTCTCTGGAAGGTAAGGGCACATTTCTGTCTACCTTGCAAAGCCATAACAGAGCGCTGTAGAATAACTACATTAAATTACAATCCAACAACATGTTTTTTCTACCAGGGCAGTAAAAGTTTAGCTGGCTGATGCTTCCATGCTAATGTTTTAGTGTTAGTTTTAGTTACTGATCAGCTGATTGTCTCGCTAACGTAACCAGAAAATCCAAACCACAGCTCTGGAGAACAACAAGGCTACATGAAATAAATCCAACAAGATAAGACACTGACATGGGAAACACACCACGGCTCTCTGTGATTATGGCCAGCTTCTAGCTAAAGCTATCAAACAACAGTTTTCATTTGCATCGCTAAAGTCCGACAAAACAACGACAACTTCAGCTGCACTTTGAAAACATCTGTCCCACATTAAAACCTTCCATCTGGGAAAATCCACACCGATTATGTAAGTGATTTTTTGCCGTTAGCTGTCTGCATTTGTCCCGACTCCTCTGGCTAAAGATCCACAGGTTGTCAGCTCTCGTGCTAAATAACACGTGTGCTCGTTCATTTGTCTAAATGTCACTTCTCTTCTTACTTCTAATAAACCAGAGGACTACTCAGAGACTGTTTTTATTATTGTTATTATTATTTCCTCTTCTTCGTTTATGGACACATTTAATGTAGTGATGGCGTCTACACTGCCGGAATTATACAAGCAGAAGAAGAAGCTGTGATGACGAAACGCGCTCTGTAGCGCGAAACTAACAGCACGTTCACATATGTGCAGATTGAGAAGCACTGTCCAGCCTTAGAGAAAAACGACCTTTTATTACAACTTTTATTTTGTAGCTATGGGCATCAGTTACTTCAACCATTTACTCACTAAAGTGCTGAGATCTCTGAAAACAATGACATCACCGCCCAATGGGGAAACAAACATGACATCAAACTGTCCATTTGAAGTGCTTCTATTACCTATTTGTTTGATTCACTGTTAACATAATGATAGAAAGTCTCAGTGTGATAACAAATTTAGTTCTGGTTTCATCAGTGCTGCATTGTGTTTCTCCCTGTTTATTTTAGACATGGCTTTGGGTGTCCGGTCCTCTCTGTCTTTACTGTGCTGAGCGTTTCTACCGCTACATCCGGAGCAGTGACCCTGTTACTATAGTGACAGTCATCAGGCACCCCTGTGAAGTCATCGAGTTGCGCATGCTGAAGAAGCACTTCAAAGCTCGTCCTGGACAAGTAAGAAGACACAACATGCCTTAATCGCCAAACATTTTGTTTTTGTGCACTTAATTTTTTTAATCATATGATGTTCAAGGAGAATATAAAATCCACTGCAGTAAGTGAAGATGGTTTGTTCTTTAGTTAAAAGGTTCATCTGATGCTTGCACTGTTGTTTCTCCCCCTTTTTTCTCTCCACATGCCCCCGCTCTAATCCTCTCTTTCTTCCCCTCTTTCCCTCTGTCATCCTGCTGTCTCTCCATCTCTCCTCGTCCTTTTCTTTCTCAGTATGTTGTTCTGAACTGTCCAGGTGTCTCTTCATTTGAGAACCATCCCTTCACGCTAACAACAGTAAGACTTCCTGCAACACATTTGTCACTCATGACACAATGCAAATACACACACACACACACACGTCTATACATGATGTTGTCAGATCTAGTGTAGAGACAGAAGGAGAAGACAAAGAAAAAACTTTCTGCTTAGACAGCATATAGATATGGACACACATGCACACACACGCACACACACACACACATACACACACACACACACACTTCCTCACTGAGACTCACATGCTACATTATGTGCATGCCTGTGCGTAGTGTGTTACGGAGCTTTGAGGAGGACGGCAGTGAATCACACTGACAGAGAGCAGACAGACCCCTGAGGCTAATAAAGGCGTCTGCCAACAGGAAGGCTGTGTGTGTGTGTGTGTGTGTGTGTGTGTTTAGCTATGTACTGTATATGTGCACTGGGTTGTGTGTGTGTCAGTGTCTTTGTGTTAGCTGTACATGTTTGTGAGTGTGTGTACAACAACTGAGAGTGTGTGTATGTGTGTATGTCTGCTCTGTGTGTGTGTGGGTGTGTGACTCACTGTCTGCTCTCTAACTCCTCGCAGTGTCCCACAGAGAACAAGGAAACTTTTGGCATCCATCTCAGAGTTTTGGGAGACTGGACTGGTGGGTGCTCACACACAAACACAAACACACACACACACACACACACACACACACACACACACACACACACACACAAAAGGGTACTTACACAGCCTTACATGTGCAAATATACACAGATAAAAGGACACACGCTTTCTGCTCTTTATCAGAGTTGACAGGACGGAGGTAATTTTGTTTTGTCCTCTTCATTCCCTCTCTTCTCTGGGGAGGATACATTTCCTAAAAACTCCCATTCCGTCTCATTTGTGTAAATTTGTATTCTTTTCTTGTGTATGTGCGTGTGACTTCTTCTTTACCTTGAGGATATCATTGGTTCCCACAGTTTTATTGTCTGATTGGAAAACTGTATTATGTGTGCACACACACATAAACATAGGGCCTTGGGACTATGGGTGTGAATTTGCTTTCTTGCTAAACTCTAGCATGTTTACATCTTGTATTTTTATACTGATGTTCATTAACATGCTCTGTCCCTATCAAATAAACAAATACAGTAAACACACACAGTACACAGTTTATTAACATATAGTGCTGCTTTTGGGTTTCAGCTAAATGGAAAAGATAGAAAACTGGATGGAATCAGTAGATGTTTTTTGGATGTTTTTGACGGAAAAACATGGCGAACTGTGTTAAAGGCACAAACACTTTATATGCACATACAGTATGTCAGAGAAAGATTTCCCAAAAAATGTGACTCCCTTCTAGAGGAAGCTGTGGCCTTTGGGAGCCTGTGAGAACATGTACACTCATTTCCAGTTCCTACTGTACACGCACATGCTTTCAGGACACAGGAAGAGAAGTCGGTTTGTTTGTGTTGGCCCCTTAATGTGCCATGACCACATGTTGTATGGAAACAATGGGAAACATTGAATTGGAATGTATGGACACCTCTCAATATGACAATATATGCACAGGTGTTTGCATTCACATCTTTATGACCTGTCCATTCTTAGAGTTAGATCAGTGTATAAAATAATGTGAAATTACAAAGCTATTCTCCTCTCCTCTCCTCAGAGCGGTTCACACAGCTGTTACTTCCTGAACCAAGGATAGACTTGGAGATCCTTCCCATGGTTCATCAGAGGAGATACCCCAAGTACGTTTCTGTGTTTGTGGGTGTGTGTATGATGTGGCTGACTTGATTTCTCATGAAGGCTAAGAATCACAGAGGGGTTAGAGGTTTTGACCTCCTGACCTCTGACTCTGTGCTCTTCCTGCTCTGTGTGAGAGAGAGATAGGTGAGAGATGAAGGGAGATGTTGGGTTCAAGGCAACGAGAGTTTGTTTTGTGACAGTAAACCAGAGCTAAACAAACCATCTAACCCCCCATTGTACAACAATTCCCAATAATGGTTATTAGAAGGGTTAGGGTTAATTTCCAGTTACTGGTATACTGCAACCAGGGTACATGCATATTTAAAAAAAATTAAGATTAAGAGTCGCTAATACTAAATAGCACAAATCAGGATAATTTGTGCAATTTAAACAAATCAAGATAATCAATAAAAGCAGTTGAAAGTACTGCCTATTTACGACATCTTTATTTTTATAAATGTGTATAAGACTAGTGTAGGTGGTATTTCTCCACACTTAACCACCCCAAAATGCTTTTATTTTGTTTCCAAGGAAAACATTTTCGAAAATATGCAATATCTGCAACATTGATACCAGTTTCATCTCTGTGTGTTCAGTATGGAAATAAGTTCAAAACGTGTTTGACCTAGCTTAGCACAAACACTGAAAATGAGTAACCTGCTTGCCAAGCTACATCAAAAGTGAAAAAAATGACTTTTCAATGATGATTGAACTTTTTCCACAAAGTTTTTGGACATGAATAAAAGTTTACAGAAGTGTTACTGAGATCACAGTGCTTGTGATTATGTGACAGTAATGCTGAGCCAAGCCTCACCTGGTGGTGAGTGTTGGGGCGTGTAAAGGATGCCGTAGCGTTACCAAGTGTTTTCTGGGCTGAGTTTTAAATTTCATGTCTGGGACTGCCTGAGTTTGTTTGGGTGAACTTCCTTAATGCAGAGAAAGGTTTGACTGTGCTTGGCGATTTTGTATCTGTGTGTGTGTGATTTCTTAATGACACAAGTGTTTGAGCAGCTGTTGTAGAGATGATGGCTGTGTGTGTTCGGGGGATTACTGTCACACACACACACACACAAGCTGCTCCCAGACTGTGGGATTTTCTGTGCAGGATGTTTATCTGCTTATATTTGCTTGACCCTGAGTGGAAAGTATAAATATGTGTGTATATTTCTTGGTTAATTGTCCAATAATCTTTTGTATTTTTGTTTGCATTGTATGTTCAGGCTTTACGTGGATGGTCCCTTTGGAAGTCCATCAGAGGAAGTGTTTAACTATGACGTTAGTCTTTGTGTTGCGGGTGGAATCGGAGTCACACCGTTCGCCTGTGTGCTGCATGCTCTGCTGTGAGTAATGAGAAAAAATTCAAAAATGACAAATGATGAACAATTTGAGCATTGAGGATTTGTATGTTTCTTTCTTTCTTTCTTCCTGCTATACATCCAGTGACGGCTGGACGGGTTTCAGGTTGCAGAGGTTGTATTTTGTGTGGGTCTGCAGGGAGCTCCAGTCCTTCTACTGGTTTGCTGAGCTGCTGTGTGCTGTGTATCACAAGGTCAGGACAAGGTTATATAACTAAAACATCAGGGAATTCAGCTATGGTTCATAATATTTAATTTACTTTAATAAGTTTGGTAGTTGCTTGACCAGCATCCAGTGTTTATGATACCTTGAATGTCAGCATTGGGAAAGATTCCCTTTCTGAAAGGACTTAAGTAGTAATTTGGCTTTTTTGAACTGAGCCACTGCCCCTCAAATTGTCTGTGCTTGCCCCTGCTTTTACGGATCATTCAGAAAATGTGCCGTTTTATCAATTAAGATAGTCCACTAGCCACAGGCTGTTGGGGATTTCCACCCTGTGTGCTGTCAGTCAGATCAAAGAAAGTTTTTGGGGTGTTAAGGGGAAGAAGGTCAGAGGTTGAAAGCATAAATGACTGCAGATGAGCAGAGGAGTTATTACTGTGGCACCTGTGCTTTTAAAGTCTCATCACACTAAAGCAGAGTTTGTGTAGAAATAGATTGATCAAATAAAAACAGTTACGTGGTAATGGTATCAACCGCTGCATAGCTCCAATTCCAAGTTTACTGTCACTGGTTTGTTTTTTTGTGCGTGTGTTTTTGCAAAGAACATCTTTATAGGCATTATGAAACAGTCGGCAGAGCAGGGGATACATGCCCTAGGGAGCCAATTGAACAATTTAGGTTTTTGCAGAGATTTAAGTTGAATGAGCAGCATGAAATGTCAGGACCTGGACACAACGACTATTATCAGTTTCAGTTAATTGTATTTATCGCCATCTTGTGGCTGTTATTAATTTTACCTCTTGTATTTCAAAGAAACCTACTGTTCAGAATAAATGT